GTCCCTTCCAATCCCTAATAATATTCTGTGACTCTGTGAATGCACGTTTTCTAATAATGCTGTTGTGTTTGCTGCATCCCAGAGCCCACTGAGACCTCAACAGAGAGCAGTGTGCTCTGAAACCAGCTCTGTCCGTAGTGGTTAGCTGCTTTGGAAGTGGTCATCAGAATGGGAGAGGAGAATGAGCAAGTAAATGCTGGCTTTAGGGAGTTTTTCCAATAGGAATAGTTATAATCTGTAAATCTTGAAAGGGTTCACATCTTCTGGGCACAGTTGAAGCTTAGTAGCATGTCCTTCACTTCCTCCGCAAGTGAGCGGCTGATGATGGTCCCTCACTCTTCATATTATAAAAGGTTTGAACTTTAGTGTGCTTTCAGTAGGAAAACAGAGTGGTCTGGGCATCAGAAGATGTGGTTCTAAACCTCTGCAAGATGTTTAGTTAGGAACAGCAGAAGGACATGGAGCTACTGGAGCCAGTGCAGAGGAGGCCACGAGGATGATGCCAGGGCTGGAGCAGCTCTGCTGTGAGGACAGGCTGAGAGAGTTGGGGCTGTTCAGCCTGGAGAAGAGAAGGCTCCAGGGAGAACTTCTAGTGGCCTCCCAGTACCTGAAGGGGCTCCAGGAAGGAAAGCTGGGGAGGGACTTTGGCCAAGGGCAGGGAGTGACACAACAAGGGGTGATGGCTTGAAAGTGGCAGAGGGGAGATGGAGCTGAGATGTGAGGAAGAAATTGTTTGGTGTGAGGGTGGTGAGCCAGTGTCCCAGGTTGGCCAGAGAAGCTGTGGCTGCTCCTCCCTGGAAGTGTTCTCGGCCAGGTTGGATGAGGCTTTGAGCAACCTGGTCTAGTGGAAGGTGTTGGGGTTGGGACTGGATGAGCTTTAAGGTCCCTCCCAACCCAAACCAGTCTGGGATTCTATGAAATAAATCCTGTTGTGTTTGGGGAAGTGAATGAAGAGGAGGAGCTTCTAGCAGGAGATTTTTTTTTCCCATTTTCAAGGTTACATCCTAGTGATTTCTCTCGATCAGAGGAAGCTGGAAGGGAACTTGCATGGATATTATCAGCCAATTTCTTTTTTTAATTCTGACTTTAGCTCATACCCAGAGCTAAAACCACCACATCCTTTCAAGCTCTTCACACCTCTTGTGAGCGCTGTATCTGTAGTGTAGGGGAGATGTTTTCCCCATCACCTCGAGAAGATGCGCTGCTGTTGGCACAGGAAACAAGAGGTCAAACCCAAAACACCCACAACTGGCTCATCTGCTGATCTGTCTTGTCTTGTGCACATTAAATTTGGATTCAATTGTGTGTTTTTAGTCCTAAATTGCCGCTGTGGAGTAGTAGAAGCAAGTGAGGTTTGATCTGGTTGTGCTTTCATCGTTCTGTGGTGCTGCTGTCGGTGTTTGGGCACAGATTCAGTTCACCAATCACACGTAGATTGGTGCTGTGGGATTGTGCTGGATGCACTGCAAGCACTTTAGAAGGCACCTGCTATACAGAAGCCTAATTTAAAAATAAAATAAAATAAAATAACCAACAAGAAAGCATACCCAGTGCCTTCCTGAACATGTAACATCCTTTAAGCCAGAGCGCTTCATCATGAGAACTGCATTTCTGGAAGCAAACCCACAACCTTCTGTGTTTACAGAACTTAATTTACTGCCAAGTCTTTTTGGGAATGTACATAATAACATCCAAGTAGTGAAAAATAGCCAGAGGCCATCCAGAAAGTGGGGAATCTGCAATCTGTGTCCTTAAAATGTGTGACTCAGCTTGGTGAAGCAGGTGTCCTGCCTAGGACCTCTTGATTTCAGTGGTAGGCATTCAGCTTCAGGGATTGCGATGTCTGTCTTTGCCTCTGTGTTGCTGGGGTTTCAAGTGGGGTTTGTTGTTAGTCTTTTTGAAGTCTTACCATTTTGCTTTTGCTGGATCCACAGGCTGTTATTTTCCTGGGGGTTGCTGGGTGTCACACACGATAGAGTGTGCAAGCTGTTCTTGTAGATGGGTTGTCTTACCGAGGGCGAAGAAAGCTGGCTTTTCTCTGAAGCTTTTTCAAAATACACGTGCACTCAGGCTTCTCCTTTGAATTGTGCCCTTTCTGTAGCCCTGATTTCTGCTTCAGATCTCATTCATCTCCGGGTTTTGCAGCTGGTAATATTGTGTAGGTAATTTTTGCCGCAATAGAAGGAAGAATTCTTGTTTTAATGGCAGCTCTTTGTTTTAAATCTTGTTGTCTTTGTGGTTTTTTTCCATTTTTCTTTCATATCAAAATGTATGCACAAGGAAATTGAGTTTGATTGTGCTGAGTTTGGGTAGCAGGCACAAGAAGGAGCTCTGTCCAGTTGCTTTTCATCTCAGTGGGTTCCCAAGTTTCCCACTGACCCTTTGAGGTCCATCCATGCTGCCTTCAGATGAAGCCTTCTGTGCCTGTGTTGCTGAGTCCACCCCCGAGTGCATGCTGGCATAAAAAAGAAGAGTTTGCTGTGCCAGAACTTGATTTGTAAGAGTAATTCCCAGCAAAAAGCACTTCTGTGTCTCCTTCTTACTGCAGAAAAATTCACCAGGGTGTTGCTGGAGCAACAGCAGGACCGAGCCCGGCGGGAGCAAGAGAGGATCCGACTCTATTCAGCTGACCCTTTTGATCTCGAGGCACAGGCCAAGATAGAAGAAGACATAAGGTAGGAAACCAAAGTCACTTGCAGGCTTTGAAGGTCTTCACGGTGCTTTTTTCCACAGGGTGCTTCCATCCATGGTGCTTCCATTTGGAGGATGTAAGGAGTGTGTTTAGATCCTGCCTTAAGATGCCTGCAGGGTAATGCTCTGAGCCACCTTTGCAGGTGGGAAGGTTGGGAGTTGAGGACGTGTAGGCACACCCTGTCCTTTAGATGAGCACAGATCATGAGGTGGCAGCACTGCTGTCCACGTGTGGGATGTCCCAGAGCTCTCTGAGCTGGTCTGCTCAGAAACAAGAGCTTCAATTAAGAGAGCACTTAGCCAAGGTCCTCTTGAGAGGTGGCACTGAGGTGTCTCAGGCACGTTTTGAACCAGAGAGCTGGACCTGTGTGACTGTGTGAGCTGAGCTCTGCATCATTTCTTGTGGCATCATTTCTCCCAGCTGCCTTCAAGACATACTGCTAATTGTTTAGTCTCTCTGGCTAATTCCAGCCTCTGAACATCGCTGCTGTCAGAAGAGATGTTCTGTAGAAATACGTTCCGCTCATCAGCGCTCGCTCCCTCTTGCTGCCTCCCAGATGTCATTGCACTGGGCTGCGGCTCAATTTCTTACACTGAGTGATAAAACCTTGAGTCTGAACACGACTGGTGGTTTTTTCCCTGATAAAGAAATGTCTTTGAGATACAGGCTCATAGTTGGTCATCACCAAAATTCATTTGTGGTAAGAGTCATTCTTGTGTTCCAACTGACAAGGTGTTGGTGCTGGATAAATTCTTAGCTTAGTGTAGAAAACTATCCATCTGTAGATAGCAAAACATTGCTCAGAGACACAGGAATGCTTTTCTTCTTCCATAAATGAGGGGACAGATAAAGGTGACGTGCCCAAGGCTGGGCAGCTGTTAGGAAACAGTTTGGACACAGAATCCCAGACTGGTTTGGGTTGGAAGGGACCTTAAAGCTCATCCAGTCCCACCCCCCCTGCCAGCAGCAGGGACACCTTCCACTAGACCAGGTTGCTCAAAGCCTCATCCAGCCTGGCCAAGAACACTTCCAGGGAGGGGGCATCCATAACTTCCCTGGGCAACCTGTTCCAGTGTCAGCCATCAGCAGTCCCCTGATTTCACACCTCACTTAGTTTCTCTGAACTCTTTGCTTAATTAGATGCGTTCTGCCCAAGATTGATTGGAAGCTCTTGCAAACGTCGTAAATTTTTTGAGCTGCGTCTCTGCCCTTCAAGTGTATCTTGGGTGGAGAGAGAGTCGAGCATGGAAAAAAGAGAATAATGGATTTGACAAGAAAACAAACGTAAGATTAACCACTCTATATCTGATTTAAACTTAAATAATAACAGCCAGGACAATGTGTGGAGCTCTGTTTCACGAGTGTATGAAGTGGGACAGACTGGAAGTAGCTCCCAAGCGAGCCAGGTCTCACATGCTGTTAACTGGTTCCTTCCCCGTCAAGAAACCACATCTACCCATCTCATTGTGGGAACGCCACCACAGTAGAGAAGGTGGGTAAGAGAGGAGCCTGAAATTTTTTTCCCCCTTCCCATAGTGAGGAGAAAAAAATGAAATGGCATCAAAATTGGAAGCCCTTTTTCCTTTTTGGTAGATAAAGCTGTTTCAGATGCAGTCACTACAGATACCCATCGCTCCCAAGATGACTGTAGGGGCTGTGGTGGGCTTCTTGAAGAGTGTTTTTTCTCTAGGCTTGAATTTGCACCAAAAGCTTGTGGTCATGGTGATGGTCTTGCTGCAGTTTGTCTCACTTCCCTCCCTTCCTATGCCTGGAAAAAGAAAGATACGAGGGAAACGTTGGAAGATTTTAATGTTCAGCTGCTGTGTGGGATTCCAGTGTTGTAGCTACTGGCAACATCTTCATCGTGTGCCCTCAGCGCTTTATCGTAGAGTGACTAATAAATACAAAGGGTTTTCACGTGCAAGTTCTCCAGGTGAACTCTCTGGTGACAGCTTTCTGCTGCAAACAGAAGGTCGTCTGGTGCTGTAGCATGAGTTAGGCAAGGCCTTGGAAGGAGCTGTCTTCACAGCTGCTGGGAAGCGACTTGGTGTCTCTGGATTAAGCTGAGATCATTAGTAGCAATCCCCTGCTAAGAAGCCTACGTTGAGCTAACGAAGCAATCCTTGTTGTGGTTTAAATTTGCTGTTTGTAAGGTGAGCTGCAGCAGGTGGGATTACCAGACCTGTTTCTAATATAAGGTTTGGCTGATGGAAGGTCTGATTTTTTTCCTCTCTTCTTCGTTAAATTCAGGCAACAAAACATTGAAGAAAATATGACGATAGCAATGGAAGAGGCTCCTGAGAGTTTTGGCCAAGTGGTGATGCTGTATATTAACTGCAAAGTCAATGGCCATCCCGTGAAAGCCTTTGTTGACTCAGGTGAATTGTCCCCGTTTTCATCTCTTTCTCCACACTCTCCCTCACTGAGAGAGGCAGTAAATGTTCCAGAAGTTTTGTCCCAAAAACCCACCATAAAGGACTGTGTTCCAAAATTTTGAAGCACCTAATTAAAACCTGAGAGCAGCCTGGGTATTGTTTGGGGTGAACAGAGCAAATTCTTGAGAGAAGCAGCACACGTGAGCGCTTCAACATGCCACATCAAGGCTCCTGTGAGAATTCCTGGGGCTCTGATGCCAGAGAGATCACTGCCACACGTGTGTCATGCTTTGTTTTACAGACCAGGAGGGATTTTGCCTGCCTTTAACGCAGTGATTCCCATCCTTTAAGGGTTGGGGTTATACTTGGGGTTATTCCAGCTCCACAGTAACAGGTCCTTTACTGTCAGTGCTGATCTGTGCGTATACAGTCAGCTCAGCGCAGTGGGATTCACAGAAAGCTTTTAAGCCCTAATGCTGATGGGGGGGAGAGTGGTTTCCCAGCTGCTGAGTGCAAGATCTTAAGCCCTTCCAGGAGAGAATATTAATTTATGATGAGCTGTCAGAACTTAACATGATTTTTTTTTTTTCTTGGTAGGTGCCCAGATGACCATCATGAGCCAAGCTTGTGCTGAAAGGTGCAACATCATGAGGCTGGTAGATCGGCGATGGGCTGGCATTGCTAAAGGTGTAGGGACACAGAAAATCATTGGTAGAGTGCACTTAGGTGAGTACTGGCTTTCTTCTCTGGGGGCAGCTTTAGCAGCAGTTTGACTGCATTTCCCAGGATCTTGGCACCGAGGAGTATTTGGTTTAATGATGTAATTGTTAGAAACTCCCGCCGAGTAAAAGAAAAGTGCATCTGCAGTGTGTTTGTTTGTCTTGGGCACAGTAATCTGGCTCCTGTCTCATTTAATGCTTTTTTAAATGGAATTAACTTTACACTTTTAGGTGAGGGAGTCCTCAGCTCAGGTTATACGTTCGTTTTGGGTGCAAAAAACAGGGATAATGGGAAATAGCAGGATCTTCCCTGTTTGGGGTGGGACTCGTGGGCAGTATGAGCTGCTCAGGAAGGGTTCCTGCACAGTGGGGTGTTTCATATTCCTTTGGGAAGAGAAGGCTGGCTGTGCTCTTGTGCAGGTTTTCTGAATGAGAAAAAAATTGTCCTTATTGTCTGGAAGGAAAATTGATTAATTTCACTGTTGTGTCTTCTTAGACTTGTGCTCTAATGAACTGTCTGCAGCTCCTCTAGCTTGGAGGCTTAGATAAGCAATTCTTAAAGCTTTACAGCAAGTCAGCTTTTAAAATAATTAACTACCTGAAACTAAGGCAGGCCTGAAAGTCCCTGGGGTTTGCACGAGGCTCGACTTTCCGTGACTGAATCAGTACATCGGAGCTCTGGTTTCAGATTCACCCAGCAGCTTTGAGCAGACCTTTCCCAGGAGAGGGAAGAGCAGAAAGTAGATTTGTTGCACTTTCAAGGTGGTAACATTTCTCCTTTGCTTTTCAGCTCAGGTCCAGATTGAAGGGGATTTCCTGGCGTGCTCCTTCTCAATCCTCGAAGAGCAGCCCATGGACATGCTTCTAGGACTGGATATGCTGAAGAGGCATCAGGTATCTTTTGAAACAGTTACTGGCTCTTCCAAATTAAGTGCAACAAAAATGCCATGCCTGTGAATTTATTAGGAGTTATCTGAGCAGAGTTGATAGTGGATCATCTTCTGGCCAGTTCTGAGAGAAATACCTACGCTACATACTTCATGGATAGCAAGAGGGTGTCTGGCTGCTCCCTGAAGTTTTTTGCTCTCAATCAAAGATGATCAAAGCTTTCCAGCTGAATGATATCACAGAATCACAGGATGGTGGGGTGGGAAGGGACCTCAGGAGATCATCCAGTCCAACCCCCCTGCCAAAGCAGGTTC